TCTAATTTCCCTCTTTCCTCATCCTTCTTAATCCAGCTTTTTCTCCTCACGTCTCTTACAACACCCGTCCCTCGTCATTTCTCCCCATCTTTAATTGGATATAGAATCCTTTCGGCGAAGAAAAGAACTCTGGATTCTGGTTACCTGTTGCCGTCCCTGCTGGTAAGACTGGCAGTTTCAACGTTTCCATCAAGATCAAAAGTAGTTTCGTAATTGTGCGTGGATTCCGATGCATGTGTCGGACTTCGAGTATGACAAACAGCAGCAGCAGCAGCAGCAGCAGGAGATTTACTCGGACTAGACGAATGAGAAGCCTGATCCTGAGTCGACTGATTCTGACCTTGAATTTGACTTTGTCCGTTATTCGTAGTTCCAGATGCCGATCCGTATCTTTCCACGTTCGTTTCTTGACCGGTTAAGTCTGGAGAGCGTCTACGGTACAAAAGCAGGCTGCGTGCAGCAAAGAAAGTCAAGCAAATCGAGAAACGAAATATCAATCGCACAGAGAGGAGAGCTTTACGAAACTCTTCTATGTATATCATCAACAGAGACATTGAAACAAAAAGGAAGAGTGAGTGAGTGATTGTGAGTGAGTGAGTGAGTGAGTGATTGTGAGTGAGTGAGTGAGTGAGTGAGTGAGTGAGTGATTGTGAGTGAGTGAGTGAGTGAGTGAGTGAGTGAGAGAGAGGGGTCGCGTCGCACAAACATTAGAAAAAGCATACTCGAAACACAAGTATGTATACCATGGCACAAATGTAAACTTTGATTTCATCTACATGCTGCACATCCTTTCATCCTCTCACCTGATTCCTTTCCCGCATTTCCAATTTGTCTCTCTTTCCTCCATAGCCTTTTAGAAAACACATCTAATCTACTCGCCAAGAGACTCTAAATGCCGTACTATACGTGTATCGCATCGCGCGTATATTATATTGTACAATGCAATGCTTGGAATTAGAGGAAAGGTTAAAGAAACGCAAGCGCTTACCTCTCGTAACCGTATTCGATTTGCCTGGTAGAATCGTGCCGTTGTCTGATACGTTCGTCGGGTGTTGGATCGATGAATCGAAAGGTATGCAACCTGCCAAATTTCACGATCGCTCCGTTCTACAAAACATCGATAACACATGAGAAAAGTAAGACGAAAGGGGGAACCACCTCCTTCTGGACCGGCCGCGGCAGCATAGACGATACCTGAAGTATCGTTGTCTGATGTATCCTCTGATTGTTCACGTAAGTGTGAGCATCTCTGGAACAAGGTGTCAGCGTAACTATATTCTCCGTAAAAGCAATCACGCAGTGCCTAGGCATCACAGTTGGTCCTGTCAATGTCAGAGTTTGAGCTTGAACGGCCTGCGGACCTATCGGCCTTTCCGATCCCACTTCGGTCACGTTTGGCTGCAAACGGTGTCGCGCGCCTGCCCCATTCGGAATGTCACTGCCATCCGGATTCAGTTCCAGCAGAAACGGCAATCTCTCGTCTTCGTATCTGTCAAAATTGGTAAACCTGGTCGCGTCATCTTTTTTCTAATTTTCCTTATTTTCTCACGATCGCAACCAATCTGATATCCTTTCAACCAACCTGTGATCTAATTCATTCCACTTCCCACTAGGTTTTTTCTTACGTTTCCGAGGCACGTAATCGGCGGGTCTTCTCCTCACATGGAACATTATCGAACCTGCGAACAATACAAAATGCATTTTCCTTATTGTCTTTTCTCGCTTAATAACTCCTCTCTTGAAAAAAGGATTCAAGATTCGTCAAAAAAGCGCTGTTCGGTGTAACAATATTCACCAAACACGTGCTCTACCCTTCGCGCGCCCAATTGACCTACATATTGTAAAGTAACGCCGCCACGTGCGTCGACACAACCGCACCTCTTTACCGCTACGCCATTTCCAACGATCGATACCTACATATTCTCCTTCGTATCGCTTTACTATCCATACTATAGCTTAACTAAAATGATTACAACGATATAACAACACTAATAGAAAAGCGGCGTTGCGCGATCAAACATGTATTTCTTCAAATATCATACATGTTTCTTTAATAACTTCAAATTTACACCGTACGCCAAGTCGTATTCGCATCAGATAGGTATCGATCGTATTAATCTAACTGTACGAAAGCAATGTCATTCCAATTCTTCTATATATTTCATCTAACGAACACTTTGTTTGAAACATTCTTACGTCTAATTCCCCAATCCATCATGGTGCAAAAAATTCGTCGTTTTGGTTTCTATAACCTGGTCCCTGAATACATATAATACATATATGTTTGTGTGCATATGTACACGTATGTGTGTTTGGGTTTCTATATGGTCCCCTTTACGATCGATCACTTGAATTTTGGTCCTCTACGTTTCCTCCTTTTCTGCTCAAACTTCGATAAAATATATGGGTCAGCTCAATGTACGAAGCCACTTTACACGCCGCATTCTCTTTCTTTTCTTCTAACAATTTACAAGTGTCGCAGCACGAGTAGACTTCACGACGAAAGGCCGGTGTTCCATTGAGAAAAAAAGGAGAGAGGGAGGGAGGGTGGGAAGAAAGAAAAAAAATACACCGAGAGCGACTAGAGTTCTAAATTTACATAGGAGCAATAAAGAGAAAAGTAATAATAAAAAAGGGCTTTCCACAGGTGGACATGGATTGAAAGTCTTTTCGATCACCCCATTTCGAAATGTAGAACAACGCGCAGAGGCGATTGTTACTCGATGCTTCGATGCTTTATCGTCTATCGTTCGACACGTTGCACCACAATTTACAGTATTCTTTCGCACTCGACGCCGTATCGTATCGTTTACCGAACAATTCGGAAATTCCTTTCATTCCGATTATTCGTTTTTCTCTTTTTTCCAACGGATCACGTGAAAAGTATGGGAAAAAAGGGGTGGAAAAAATGCCGGTGAGACTGCTGAGAAAAGTAACGTTAAATTACACGAGAATGTTACGCGACTGAATATCAGCCGATACAGGGAGAAAGAACGCGGGGTTGGTGAGGGCGGTTCTTCGGACACGGCAAAGCACAAGTGCGCCTGCTCCTTCGTTCATTCGCTCGCTCGCTCGCTCGCTCGCTCCCCTTTACCACCCCCTCCTATCGACGCGTATACAAGCCGATCTCAACCCAGACCAAATCCGTGATTATAGTCAGATTATAGTACAGTGATAATGTTGTTGCTCTATCCAATTTCCTAACCTATTCACACACACACACACACACGCGCGCGCTTCTCCATTTCCTTCTTATTCTTCACCTATTCTCTTTCTCCACACTTTCCACATTCTTGTCAACAAAAACTAACTTACTTACCACGCGTGGAAGGATGGTTCATGAGAATGGCCAGGGGGCATTCACTCCGTTAACGTTGTTCCCACTATTCACCTACACGCGATATTTTCGATTAGAGACACGTACACGACACGACACGACACGGCACGACACGGCACGACACGACACGACACCTTGCGTACTGTATCATATCGTACATGTTTCAAATATCGTGACTCGAATCAGCCACAGCATAGGCCCCGATAGGCGATACACCGTGGTTAACGTTCGAATTAAACTGACCTGAACCAGACAGTACTGTTGCGGGTCAACCTTCTCTAGACCATATTTCGAGAGCATCTCTCGTACCACTTGAACCGCTGAATCTCGAACGCTCAGTAGCAAAGTTTTATATGGAACATCTTTGCAAAGGGCTTCACCGTAAATCTTCAACGTTCCACCGGTATCAGGACCGCCATCTTTACTGCGAAATTGTTGCAATTTTCTTTCCAGTTTCTGTTGCCGTCGTCTCCTCATTACAGCTTCCGGATTCGAAATACTTCTGGTAAAGCTTGTTTCAGGTAACTCTAAAACCGTCAACCACGTATCTTTTCATTTCTCACTAAATCGCCCTCTTCCGTCCGTTTCTCCTTTTATTTCCTCACCCGTGTACAGCTTTTCCGCTACTCCGTTTTGATCCACCGGCACAGCATTTTCATCCTGTTCTAAATTTTTCAACCGACTCAGCTTTTCCTGCTTCTTCATTTGTTTCTTTTCACGCTTGCTCAATTTTCTGCGAAAGCTGGATCCCCCGTCTGAGGAAGAGAAGCCAACGCCTTGAGCGTTCGTTTTGTCGTCGATTCTCCTCAACAGAAATCGCCCTTCGCGATCATCAATATGCCAATTCAGCTGTACCAGCAGTGGCTTCTCCTCCAACCCAAGCTTACGTTCTTCTGCAAAACGGCCAAATCGATCACACCAACAAACTATCATACCAGATACTTCAATTATTAGTTAAAATCACTCACTCTTACTATTCCCACTGCTATTTTATATTATACTTATACTTATGCACATAAGTACTTACCGCCATTTTCATGAATCTCGTAAAGTGCATACTCTGGAACCGAAAGCATTCGCATATCTGGACGGAATTTTTCGATAAGAGTTTCGATCACCGCTTGGCTTGTCGCATCCGATGCCACTCGAATGCATTTCGTCGCGACCTTCTGACCACTGTCTTGAAAATAAAATCTCATTACTCCGTGGAACTCCAAATCCTAAAAAGAAGAGACCGATAATCAATGTACAGAAATGATTAGAAAACTATTACAAGACTAAGATTAATCCATATGCGATGTTAGTTCACCTCGTTCGGTTCCGAAAGTTCGAATAGATCCAACCTATTCGCGTTCCACTGTTGAATCACGCCGCGCAGAGCTTCGCGCTCGGCCTTCTTGTTTGCCAATTCTGCGGCCATTCTAAAATCAACAAGTAAACCAACAACAATAAAACATCGATGCTTTGCTTATCAAACCTTCCCCGCCCTCTCATTTTTCACCAACGGTTTATACGCAATGCTGCAATTTTACTTCTTCCTTCTCACTTTCCACGCCGCCTTCGGTTATACGCGCCGATTATCTCTCCCGACTAAATCATTCAATCGGGAAAACGCCCATCACCATCCATCCTACGATCAAACCGTATACACATACTTCAATATCGATCATCGTTTCAATTCCTATCAATCGCACGTACGAGATGCACCACTGACAACCAAATTTCTGTCCGTCACTAATCCTTTCCATTTTTAATCTTAATTTCCACCGTTACACCAATTCCTTTCTCGATCATCACGTCCTTGTATATGTACATATATTCCAAGACACACTTGGTTCCTTCATTTTTTCCATGTTCTTTATCACCGTCGTCGTCGTCGTCGTCGTCGTCGTCGTCGTCGTCGTCGTCGTCGTCGTCGTCGTCGTCGTCGTCGTCATCGTCGTCGTCGTCACTCGATAGTTGTGTCACGAGGAAAAAAATTTGTTAACAGTGCCAACGATTCAACGATTCAACAAGTCGTGTCATCAAAAGTGGTTCTCTTAACCTTCGCCGTATATCCCCTTCATGTATGTATGTATGTATTTGTACAAGCTTACACAGTATAAGAAGTTTTATCGTTGAAAAGAGCAAAGCTTACCGAGAGGAGGAATATCTTCCCCTAAAAGATGTTGCTTTCGCGGGATCCTAATGTAGCTCTGGTAAAGACAAACTTTTTAACAAAACATACATAGTCCAATCAGGGTCGGAATGCGTCCAAGAAATTGCAACGGAGCTACGAAACGGAGGAACTTTTGTCACGATCGCCAGGAAAGGGATCGGTTTGTATCGGTTCCGATCGTCTCGACTCGGACGTCCTCGGCTCGACTCGAATGAAATCGGGTTAACTCGGAGTGTGGAACACGTACAACGGGCAAGTCGTCGTCGCATACCATGCATTCCGATCTCCTTCGACAGTATTCGGTCTTAAAACCTTAAAAGCGCGCTCGAGTAATTCGAACACGCTCGAGTACCCTTCGTACAACTTGCCACTATTCTCCGGATATCTTGCCTCTCATCCAGTACCATATTATTCTCTCTCTCTCTCTCTCTCTCTCCCCCCTCTCTCTCCCCCCCCCTCTCTCTCTCTCTCTCTCTCTCCTGCTCTCGCCCGATACACCCGTCAATCGCTCATGCCGCCAAACCTTTTATCCAAGAACACGCCTATACTACGCTAGAGTACGCTGTAAGATTTCAGTATGAGTTTAGCTTGCACAGAGATACGCGAGTGCATCTTCGATAAAAATATCGACAAATATTTATGTTTCGTGTAATAAAAACTTGATCTTACTTTCGTTTCTTTTTCTTTTCCTTTTTTTTTCGTTTCTCCCTTACTCCGAACAAAAAATCGAATTGAAAAACATGTGACGTTTTCCCGTTGTTCGTATTTTCATAAAATTTATAC